GACCCAGGTTTAATACCCAGCACCCACAAAGCAGATCACAACTGTACAATTGTCTGTAACTCTAGTTCTAGGGGATTCAGTGCCTTCTGATTGCCAACAGCACTAGAACTCATGTAGTACACATACCTACACACATGCAGGCAAGTTATATGTATAACTAAATCTTTAAAATTTTTAAATAAATTTGTTGAAGTATAGAAAGGCCTTGCTCGGGATTACAGAGCTAGAAAGAAGCAGAATTGAAATTTGAACCTGTGTAGTAATAGGAGCAGCGGGCTCCTTCCCGCCACCCGGCTAGCTTTACCTGAAATAATTACACGGAAACTGTATTCTTTTAAACACTGCCTGGCCCATTAGTTCCAGCCTCTTATTGGCTAGCTCTTACATATTGACCTAACCCATTTCTAATAATCTGTGTAGCCCACGAGGTGGCTTACTAGGGAAGATCTTAACCTGCGGCTGTGTTGGGTGGGAGAATCATGGCGACTGCCTGACTCGGCTTCTTTCTCCCAGCATTCTGTTCTGTATACTCCGCCTACCAAGCAGTTTTCTTTATTAGTTAACCAATAAAAACAACAGATAAGATACAAGACCCACCTCCATCAAACCTGAGTAGCAAACAGAAATTAATCAGGATGCTTTCTTTCTTTTTATTTAAGATATTTACTTTTTACTTTAATATAAATTCAAGATTTATTTATCTGTTTATTTATTTGAGGCAGGGTCTCTGTAGCTCTTGCTGACCTGGAACTTGTGGTCTTGAACTCACTGAGGTCTGCCTACTTGGACTTCCCAAGTACTGAGATTAAAGGCAGGGGTACCAGGCCCGGCACTAAATTCAAGTTTTAAAACAAGGAAACAATGTAAATATAAAACATCAAATAAATAGTAGAATAAGCGAACTTGTCATAACGAGAGTTGTGACAGTGGCATATAATGTCTGACCCTTGGGGGCTGCAGGTTGGCAGCTGCACTGAGGAAGTGATCTTTGCAAGGCTGCCCCAGAACCAGGATACAGCACAAGGGGAAATGGAAATCCAAGGAGCAGACAGGCATAACACAGCACAACAGAGCATTTCTATTAACTATCAAAAGTGCACTTGTTATTGGTACATTAGATTCTCTAATGCTGCAATAGAAAATTGACTTGGTTCTTTAAATTTGGCCAAACTCTTAAAGATGATTTCCACAGCTAAGCATGTTAAAACTGCTAAATTGCTTCCTTGATTGCACGCTGAGCATTTTAGCAGCTGAGTACACTGTAAATACTCCAGCAGGAAATTTTGTTTCTCATCTTTATTTCTTTGGGATCCCATGAGAAATATAAGGATCTTGTTTATTGTTGAAATGCATCGTGTTTAATGTCTTTCTCATCTGTCCCTGGTGTCTTACTACTAAAATTGGTAGTGAAAATGCCCCAAGGAGAGAAAGGGATCAGACAGAATCCAAAGGATAAGAAGGAGAAAAATGAGAAGTGTATTGGAGAAGGAAAAGGGGGCCATACATCTGAAGGAAGCCCACATTCTGGTCAAGAGATGCTCTGGGCACTAGAAGAAAGTAAGGACCCTAGATGAGCATGGGTGGGCAGCAAATGCCCAGGACTGGAATGCCTGTACCCTGGTTCTCATATCTCCTTTACAGCAGCAGTTCGGCTGTGTGCATTCCTTGGCCCTCTTGCCTCATCTTGCCCATCTGCAGGGGACACAGGCATGAATGTGACACACATTTGTGTATCATAAACATACCTGTCAATAATCCACAAATCTACATTAAAGGAACATGATTGGAGGGTATAAATAGGGCCGTCCACAGGAACAGCTTTCTTCGCTGGATGTTTTTATCACAGTGTCATTAACAACACCATCCCCATGTTTCTGCAGGCCCCTCCTTTCAGCTGAGGATACTCACCTCTGAAGCTGTACCATCTCTAGAACAGCCTTTTAGTCTTCCGTGTTTGTTTACAACTATTCTTGTTTATTTCATCTTACAACTCCCAAGTCACACTGCATCACTGAGGGAACACACGGCAGGAAATGAGATGTGAATCAAAGCAGAAGCTGTGGAACAGGTTTCAGGCATCACTCTCATGGGGGACTGTGCTGGCTAGTTTTGTGTCAACTTGACACAAGCTAGAGTCATTTGGGAAAAGGGAACCTCAGCTGAGAAAATGCTCCCCAAGATGGACCTGTGGGCAAGCCTGCGCTGCATTTTCTTGATTGATGATTGATGTTGGATGCCCAGTTCACTGGATGGTGCTACCTCTGGGTTGCTGGTCCTGGGTAATATAAAAAGCAGCCTGAACAAGCCATGCAAGCCAGTAAGCCGTGTTCCTCCATAGCCCCTACTCCACGTTGCTGCCTATGGTGGCTATTCTTGGTTGTCAACTTGACAACATCTGGAATGAACTACAATCCAGAAATGGAGGGCACACCTGTGAGAGATTTTTGTGCTTGGTTTGAAGCAGGTAAACCCACCTCTAGTCTGGACCTTTGGGACAGGAAGACATAGGTCTTTAATCCAGACACACTTTGAATCTGGATCACACCCGCTGGCAGCCGATATGAGGACAATGGAAGAAGAAAGGTTTTTCATTCAGTTCTTTGCCTGCTTGCCCTCACCTTGCCAGCACATCCTTTCCTTCACTGGCATTGGAGACTACTTTTTGGGGATTCCAGCATACACAGAAGACCAGTGGAGACACTTAACCTTGTGGGATTAAGCAATCTAGATTTTTGAACTTTCCGTTCACAGCTAGCCATTGTTGGATTAGTCTGTAAGTCATTCCAATGAATTCCTTTTATATGTAGAGATTTAGTCCATAAGTTCTCTGAATCGTCCTTCATAATATATAACTCTCAGATGAAAATAAACTCTTTTCCCCCAAATTGCTTTTACCAGAGCAACATGACATTTACCACAGCCAAAAGAAACCTAAGATACCAAAATCTATTCTGCTGGAAACATTTTTTTAAGTTTTATTTCTTGGTTGAGCTGTGGTAATGTGGAGAGCAATAGATTTCCCTTGGAAGTTCTGAGGATTAAATGTCTCCAAAGTAACAAAACCAGAAAAGCTGAAAACATTAATTAAACATTAACTTAAGACATGAACACAGTGGCCAGTATACGACTGTTGGACCTGCAAATTGTTGAGTATTAGAGGAGGAGGAGGCAGTGTGACAGATACGCCCACAACAAGAGCTCAGGAGCATCAGCCATGGGCAAGGAACCATGCCTCATGTGCCAGCATCGCAAACCACACCACAGGAATGGGGCACGGATGGGAACACACTGCACATCATGTTGAGATAACTAGGTTACTTTAAGAAAACAGACAAACATTTTTTATTTTATTTTTTACAATCTGGGTTAAACATTAAAGCTGCATATACATGAATAAGACCAACACCTTAAAACAACCCCCAAACACTGCAAATTGTTAACAGACTCTGTTGACCATTGACTAGAGGGTTGGATTGCATGAGTAAGAAAACCCCTTCCAATCCTGACATGGACAGAAAACGTTTGCAAAGCCTTCCAGCTCACAGGCTCCCGTGTGCACATGTGTGTTCCCAGGTGTGGCTACCAGGGAAGAAAAGGCTGGAAAGGGTACAATAAGATCAGTCATTAGTAAATGAACACCAGCCATAAAGTCCTTTCTAGTGTGTTTAAAACACCTCGGAGAATAAAAACATTGCAAATTCATCTTTGTTACAAAACAACAAAAAACTGTCATATAGAAAACACTAAAATTTTAAGTAAAGACAAATTACTTGTCTAAGTGGTAAAGTCAAACAGACTTGTCAATCACAGTTAAGCAAGAGAACCCTGGGGAGTTTATACCGGGTCTCCATCCAGAAGAAGCTCTGTCTGTCCTTCTGGGGATAGTTTTTGTAGTATTTCAGAATGAAAAACTAAACAAGCACAAAACGATCCGTAAACTCCTGTATTGCTAATTTAAAGTAAACATCAGGGTTCACTGGCCAGACAGCTAGGAGCACACTGCTACAGAAGCTGAGCCAGGAGGCCGACAGCACTCCATTCCTTCTGTATCCAAGTGTATCCAGGGCAAGCACGTGAAAACAACAGAACCCAGTTTTAGTGCCAACACTGATATTGTGGGTTCTAAAAGTAATTTGTTTTCGCTGCTTTTATTCTCTTACTGTGCTTTCCGCCCTGCCACCAAGCTGGGAATCAGAACTAGGGCCTGGCTGGGCATGGCGTCACATGCATTCAACTCAAGCAATGAAGGAGACAGGGATGGGTGAATTTTTATGAGTTTGAGGCCCGAATGGTCTACATAATGAGTTCCAGGCCACCCAAGGCTACATATTGAGACCGTGAATCATACATCAAACAACAACAACAAGCAAACAAAAAACCTACAGAATAAACAACAAAACAAACCAAAACAAACCTAGGTCAAAGTGCTCTACCACTGAGCTACCCCCGCAAGTTCCAATACTTGAACTTTGACAGATGTCTACGATGTCACGAGTTGTTGAGAAAGCACCACTGCCTTGGCCGGCTTCCTGCAGTTAAGATCCCACTTCTCTTATTATTGTTGTACTCCAGAATACACCATTTTTCCTGATCCAGCTTTTTTTTTTTAAAGGTATCTGTGCTCTGTCTGCATGTAGGCCAGAAAAGGCCATCAGATCCAATTACAGATGGTTGTGAGCCACCACGTGGCTGCTGAGAATTGAACGCAGGACTCTGGAAGAGCAGCCAGTGCTCTTAACCACTGGACCATCTTTCCAGCCCCCAAGTCTTTGTTTTCTTTTTCTTTCTTTCCTTCCTTTTCTCTCATTCTTTTTCTTTTTGGTGGTTCGAGACAGGGTTTCTCTATGTAACAGTTTTGACTGTCTTGGAACTCACTCTGTAGACCAGGCTGGCCTTAAACTCAGATGCCCGCCTCTGCCTCCAGAGTGCTGAGTTAAAGGTGTGCACCACTGCTCAGCAAATCCAGCTTTTTAAAGGTTTATTTTGCGGTTGTTTGTGTGCATGTGGAGGCCAGAAGAAGGCATTGGGTCCCCTGGAACTGGAGTCACAGAGCTGTAAGCTGCCAGGTGTGTTTTGGGAATTGAACTCGGGTCCTGTAACTGTCTGATTTTGTACCTGTGGTTACTAACTCCGGGACAGTGAAGGTGCACGGGATGCAGTGGACAGGCACAGCCCTGGCTCTGTCACTCAGTACAGAACAAGTGGCCACTCAGAAGCAATGGGCTCTACGGCAAGAATGGTTTAATTGTTGGAAAAGTCTAAAGTAATTTAGATTTCATTTGTAGGAGTTGTATCTGAGTTTTCCAGCTGCCATGAATTATTTCAGTAATAAAATTGAATAAAAACAGTACTATGGCACTATATTTACTTTTAAGTACATGTTATATTAACTTAGCACATTCAAGAGAGGACTCTGGGATTTTTAGGTGCATAGCTTCTAGCTTTATTGTCTGTTTACAGCACCCACTCCTTCCTCTAGTGGATAATGACCCAATGATTATTCTTTCAGAGACACTGCAATTATAGATCCATTTAGTCTAAATGATGTGTTGTATGTTGTAGGGCAGGTGATATTTTCTTGGAATTTATCATAACTAAAATATTTTAGATATTAAAATATAAAATTCCAAAGATATAATCTTTCTCTTCAAAATTCCCTACTGTTTCCCAGTACCTGCTGCTATAGAGGAGCTGAAGCCAGCCACTCTTCTCTTCTTATAGACAGCTTGCTGCTTTCTGATCAGATGTCTGAAGATTCCGATCCAGAAGGGGTAGCTACACATTTTTTTTATTTGTGTATGTAAGTGAGTGTGCATGCATGTGTGTGAAGCTGGAACACACTGAGTCTTTTTAAGCTTTATGATCACAGACACTCATTTGTTCAGGAAAGATCTTGTTTCTCAGTAGTCTTTCTATTAAAGGCAAACTCAAGCTGCTGTTTCCATATTCAATTATCTTCATTAAAAACTTTTTAAACAGGAAAAGCTCTCCTGTCCCTCACATAATTGGCATTTTTCAGGTTTGATTCTTCCAATAAATTTTCAATCTAGCACTGTTCCAGTCACCGTGAATTGACTCATTCACATGGAAAAAGCACAACGAAGATCTTTGCTTAGGAACAATGTTTAAACAACAGAATGTTTTTCTTTTGACACAGAACATTAAAAATTTTTTTTAGAAGTGAAATTACTTAAAGTGTCCACAAATTTGAGATTTCCACTATGTTCTGTTCACAGCTCCCAGACAGGTACAGTGGGGACTCAGACCAGAGTGGAGCTCACCTAGGACAAGCCAGCCAGCCTCTGGGAGGTCCTGCTATGTGCATTCATCTATGCCTAAACTGGCTCCAAGTTCACCTTTTTTAAAAAAGCAATCAGTGTCTCATAAAAGCAATAAAGTGATGAATACTTGGTAAGGATGATCTTTAACCATTCTGTTCATTTAAATGGCAACAACGTGGTTACTGTAGCTTAAACTAACAATAGCATTCTGTTGTCTAGAGATAACAAAATAACTTTAGAAGTTCTGAAACTTGAAAATTAAAGAAGCATCTCCTGAAAAGACATGCTAGTGTACTGAGCAGTAATAGAACAGCAGTGTGTCTTGCTAAAGGCCGGGAGCCAGTCCACTGAGGTCACTGAGGCGCTCACGCGGTGCTGCAGCAGAGCTGCCCAAGTCAGTGGCGAAAGAACGGCCCCGCATCTGTCAAGACATTAATTTCTACATAAATACCCTCTTGTTCAGAGCCTCTTCATGGATGTGTCTATGAACATGCTAAAATGCTTGATACTTTTAATAAGACTAAATTAATAACGCCATTTATGGGTCTGAGCTGACTAATCAGAACAAAATCCAAGGAACCAATCAGGCTTGGTTGTGCTAGAGGTAGACGTCATAGGTTTGGTTGTGTTCACTGTTTCCTCTTCAAGTTTAAAAACGTAAGGAAGAGAATCTCCACAATGGAAGAAATGAGTGATACCAGTTACTAAAAGCTGTAACAAGAACAACAACAAAAATCCATTGCTTGGCTAGGATACAGCAGTATGTTAAACTCTTCACGTCTAACTGGATCTCCCAAACCAGGATGACGAGCTGGCAAGCCATTCCCCAGAGAGAGGCCCGTGGGTGCTGGGGAGGGAGCACCTACATCTCCTTTTATGAATTGTCTAAGTGGGTGGTTTTTACCACATGCCTGTGCACAATGTTTGTACCTGGTGCTCATGGGGGCTGAAAGAGCGTGTCTGATCTCCAGGGACTGAAGTTTACGGAGTCCAGGTCCTCTAGAAGAGCAGCCAGTGCTCTTCACGGCTGACCCATCTCTAGCCCGTTAATTTTGCTTCTCAGGACAGAGTCTCACTCTGTAGCCCACGATGGCCTAGGCTGGCTCAGAACTCATGGCAATCCTCTTGCCTCTGTCTTGTGAGTGTTGGCATTACAGGCGTGAGTCACCATGCCTACCTTAGCTTCTTTTATAGCAATACAAAAACCATGATCTTCTCCAAAGATTCCAGGGGTCCTTGCAGAACTGAGATGGCAACTTCCCTTATGCACGGCCCAGAGGCAACTTGCATTGGGGTATGCTAGCTAAAGAATTTATTTCATTGGTGCTGGGAACGGAACCCATGCCCTCGCATATCCTAGGCAAGTATCCTGCCACTGAGCTACGATCCCGGCTCAAACTGAAATTCTGGGTAAACACCCCAACTCTGGTGCACAGACACCCAAAGGCAAGTGGGGAAAGTGCTTGTAACTTGCCCTGTCCCTTCTGGAATTCTCCTTTCTTTTGCTTAAGCCAAAAGCAGATTATGTATCCTGTGGAGATGGCATATAATTGACTGGAAAGAAGTTCTTCATTTGAACCTCAGCCACAAGCTCTTGGCTCCTTCGGAGCACGGTTATCTGGGAAAACAGCTATTCTGTCAGCCCGTGGGCTCACCCCACTTTACCATGCATTGATTGAAAGTGTGTTTCACAAAGCCATATCTGCACAAATACACAATAAAGTTGTGCATGGCATGTGGGAGCCCTTGATATAAGTGTGTTCTTCCTCACTCCCACAACTCAAGGAAGCAAAACTCAAGAATTCCCGTGCTGTGAAGTGGAACTGAAGATCTGATTCTTGAGTTTTTAGTATAACTGTTCACCTGGGAATTCGGAGAACTAACAATGCATCAAATAGGTGGAAGGCAGTGAGTTGAAGCCGAAATGCTTATTCAAATGCTCAACAGTCTCATTTGACAGGGATATTGACGACATATGGTCAGTTATTGCTACTGTTGGGAATGTTAAACTTGGAAAGATCACAGCACACCTAATGACAACATTCTGAATCTATCTAAAATAAAAATGAAGGTGTTCATAATTAAGATGCAGACTCTGCATCTTGGCCATACAAGTCATGTCTCCATCTTACATGCAGAACCGAAAAGATAACTGTTTGCTTCCCACAATCAAAATAACTTTTGGGTGTTTAGCAAACTAAAGAAGACTGACCTAACATTTTGTGACCATCTCTGCTTCTTTATTCCTGAGACAGGGTTTCTCTCTGCGTAGCCCTGGCTGTCCTGGAACTCACTTTGTAGACCAGGCTGGCCTTACAGAGGTCTGCCTTCCTCTGCCTCCCAAGTGCTGGGATTAAAGGCGTGTGCTACCACACCTAGTTTGTCTATCTCTTTAAAATCACGATTGGAAGCCACTACAGACTAATACACAAGGTCAAGTCAAACACTGAATATTAATTGCGTGTTATTTACACAAAGAAGGGGCCACTAAAACTCATCACTACCCAGGGAGGTAGCCTAGTGCACGGAACTCTAAGCATGTACTCACTAGAAAGAGAACAACATGAGTCCTTAAGGCAGCATCGGTTGAGTCTTCTCTGGTAAAGTGTCCTGTGTTTCAGTGACTAACGAGTGACTTTAAAACAACTACTTTAAATAAACATTAAAACAGTACTTTGAAAAAGAAATGACTAATGTAAGGACTTGTGCAGTATGCATCTACACTGGGATTTTAATTTGGGATGCAAAAGCATACATGAGAACACAATGGTACAAATTATAGCAGTCTTCCATTGAATGGAGAGTAGAGCAGCAGCTACTCCTATTAATCAGTAGTCTTTGGGTTCCTTTTTAAAAACTTGTATTCAGAGTAGCTAATAGAAAATTCCGCTGTTTAAACAGCACATGGTCAGGTTGAGTTTTATTAATGTGAAATGATTTGACAATGCACGACTAACCTACGCATGCTCTGACTCGGTCACCATGTCCTCAGTGCTGGCTTGCTTACCTGTGCCAACCCACAGATCTCCAGAGTCTTTAAGTAGATGCAGTGGGGAATCTGTTTTCTTTGTGGCTTACTTTGTTGATTTTCCTAGGAAAGCATGAGCTAGCCTTACATGTGCAGGGACTCTTGCCAACAGAACAACCGCATGAAGTGAAAAACAGATTAACACACAACAAAGTTCAAACAGCAAATGCTCTCATGGTGTGGAGAACTCAGACAGGTGCAGGCACTTCTGCTTCAGGTTTTCCTATTTGGGTCACAAGTGGCTTTCTAGAAACCCTCACGGTGCAGACTACTGAGTCCACTGCATGTGGTGTCTCAGAACCACCTTTTCAGAGTACTGATTTTTGTTTTACCAAATTGTCTTTATCAACAGCACAGTGGAAATGTTTCTTTTATCTCAGTGAATAGGTCTGCCGCCCTGGCAGAGCGTTCACTGAGAAAACATAAAGAGTGCTAAGTGTAGCTTTTCTCTTAATATGTCTGTCTCCCTTGCTCTAGGTCCTTATGTGAAAGAAACTCAACAAAGTGTACATATTCTATACCATTCTAAAGCTACCAGGCTACTGGGATTTTTTTTTTTTAAAGTAAGTACTTAAAACTTACTTTTTTTCCCCCAAGAAAACCCGTGCGAAAAAGGCACTAGATAAAATGAATTTCTTCACTCTTGTATATAATAATTATACATTGTGTTAGATTCCAAGATTTAACGAGGTGTCACACATTTAGATAAAACATTATTCAGTCATCTACTTTTATGAAAAACTGAATTTCAAGACTGAGGAATGGCCTGCTGCAGTAATGGAGACCAGCTGGATCATGGAGTGAAGACAGCTTCTGTCTCCTCAGGACCTGCTTGCTGATGACTCTGGCCATGACCACCTGAGGGAAGTCCTGGCCTTGGAAGGCTCACTGGCAGCAGCTGTGGGAGCTAAGTCGCCTGGAGACCTGAGTGAATGAGACAAAGGTGAAGTTTTCACAGTTGTCCAGCTTGACCTTTCTGGCTAAATTTGGGACAATTCCCCGGAGGGACCGCAGCCCCATCCTCTGCTCCTCATACCACACACTGCCCATGTCCACGGCCTCCTTCCTGGCTGTCAGATAGAAGGGAGACTTGGCTTCCATTTGGGTAGGTGGCCGGTGGATGTACATGTACTTGTAGAGGAGGCAGTAAGGGCACTGTTTGTGTCCCCTGGAATGCTCATGGTAGATTTTCCCATGACATACTCTAGTAGAAGCACTCCGGCTCTCTCGCTTAACACTGTCTGTCCGGGCAAAGTAGGGCTGGTTTTGTGGGTCTTTGAGCAACTCAATGTCACCATACATCAGGTCTGCGTGCTCCTGCAGCGTCCGCATATTCAGATACTGGCTGTTGTACTTGACCACTGTGGACAGGAGAGTAATGGGGCTGTCATCCCCTAGACACCCTGCCTGCCACATCTCCTCCTCATCAGAAAGGGAGAAGTAGACGATATTGCGAGAACGGGCACCCGACATCCCTGCCTTACTCAGAACCCACAGCTTCTCCTTGAGTTTCTTGGTGGAAGAACTGAAGGTGCTGCTGGTGATGGAAAAGCCCACACCCGCATTCTTCAGGATGCGGTCCAGGCCACGGCGAATGGCGTGAAGTGAGGTGGCCAGGAAGTCTGAGCCATCGCTCTTCTTGACAGTGACATAGAAGTTCTCGAGCAGCTCATTCAACTTCACTGCAGGGATCTCAAATGAGACAAACACTGAGGTTACACATTTGAGGACACTCAGCTAACCCCTCTTTTCCCCAGTCCTCACTAGGGGCTGTGCTAGGGGGAGAACAGTTTCCTGACCGCTAGAGGATTGAACCTTTCACACAATGTAGGAGAAAAGCAGTGGCTTTCAAACTGGATGATCTAGGTTTCATAGTTGGTTTCCTCTAATTTCTTTAAAACTCAGCATTTCATGATCTGCAAAACAGGGCATACTGGTAGCCACCTTCTCATAGCCCATAAGTAAGGCTTACAGGAGATATGGACTGTGAATTTCCAGGAGTATGTAAGCAGCAGTGAGCACACAGCCCCTTACAGGTGTGTCTACAGATGCCTACCGATTGCTACTATGACTGGCCTTCGTAATGTGGGCTAGTCCTTTCTGGATGATCCTTTCTTCTTTTTGTTTGCAAACCACTTCTTCTCCTTTAATGAAGCTCAGTCACCCTTTCTAAGGGACTCCATAGCTTAACCATGGAATTAGTTCAGCATTAATGTCCTCAATACCTGCCTATACTGTTTGGTACCTATTCCTGAGCAGGGACTTCTGAGGAGGAGAACCAACACATCCAACTTATGTAAAAAATTAATGGTCTGTGATTTTTCAATTAATAAACACTAGATTTTCAATATCAGTTTTATAAGTTTGGCTTATAAGAAATCTTTGCAGGCAAATGGATGGAGCTAGGAAACATCATATTGAGTGAAGTAACCCAGACACAGAAAGACAATTGTGTACCACTCATAAGTGGTCTTTAGACATAAAGCAAAGAAAACCAGCCTATAAATCACAATCCCAGAGAATCTAGACAATAATGAGGACCCTAAGAGAGACACACATGGATCAATCTACATGGGAAGTAGAAAAGACAAAATCTCCTGAGTAAATTGGGAGCATGGAGAGGATTGAAGGAGAGGGGAGCAGAGAAAAATGAATAGCTCAATAAAATCAATAATAAAATAATAAAAAAAGAAATCTTTGTGGTCAAGATAAAGATGTAAGGAGGAGGAAACCTTGAGTCAGGCTACAATACACACGATTGCAGTAGAAATGCTGAGTCAGGCTACAACACAGGATTGCAGTAGAAATGCTGAGTCAGGCTACAACACAGGATTGCAGTAGAAATGCTGAGTCAGGCTACAACACAGGATTGCAGTAGAAATGCTGAGTCAGGCTACAACACACGATTGCAGTAGAAATGCTGAGTCAGGCTACAACACACACGATTGCAGTAGAAATGCTGAGTCAGGCTACAACACACACGATTGCAGTAGAAATGCTGAGTCAGGCTACAACACAGGATTGCAGTAGAAATGCTGAGTCAGGCTACAACACAGGATTGCAGTAGAAATGCTGAGTCAGGCTACAACACACACGATTGCAGTAGAAATGCTGAGTCAGGCTACAACACACACGATTGCAGTAGAAATGCTGAGTCAGGCTACAACACAGGATTGCAGTAGAAATGCTGAGTCAGGCTACAATACACACGATTGCAGTAGAAATGCTGAGTCAGGCTACAACACAGGATTGCAGTAGAAATGCTGAGTCAGGCTACAACACAGGATTGCAGTAGAAATGCTGAGTCAGGCTACAACACACGATTGCAGTAGAAATGCTGAGTCAGGCTACAACACAGGATTGCAGTAGAAATGCTGAGTCAGGCTACAACACAGGATTGCAGTAGAAATGCTGAGTCAGGCTACAACACAGGATTGCAGTAGAAATGCTGAGTCAGGCTACAACACAGGATTGCAGTAGAAATGCTGAGTCAGGCTACAACACACACGATTGCAGTAGAAATGCTGAGTCAGGCTACAATACACACGATTGCAGTGGAAATGCTCAAGTGGAAACCATGCAGTCAACACTCACTGTGCTAAAGCCAGGAGACAAAGAGAAAATAAAAACGAGCCAATTAGGGGCTGGGGAGATGAAGTCTCTTGCAGAGAAGAAGAGTTCAGTTCCTGGCACAGATGTCAGTCAGGGACTCACAGCTGTAACTCCAGCTCCAGGGCAGTGAACGCTGTCTGCTGGCCTTCCTGTTCACTCACATAATACATACACATAAATAAAAAAGAATTTTTTTTTAAAAAAATGATATCCCTGAAGAATCTGATTTAAAAACAAAAATTGACTAAACTATGATTTATAAAACTATCTCATTAAATATACCCCAATAACATAAACTAGAATGATTTGTTAGAAAATTTTATTCTGAGTAAGCAAACGTATATACCCCAAAAGCTAGAAAAGTAATTCATAAATAGTAAAATGAGCCAATACAAACAAAAATGAAAATTAATGAAGAAGGGGAAAACTGAAGAAGGTAAAGTAAACATCAACTTCTGAGAAAACTTATCAAGATGATAAAGTCCCTTCAGGTCTGAGAGGAAGGAAAAGGTAGAGAAGTGGACTTAGGCAAACGAGCGTGAAGACCATGGAAGAGTGCCGCATGCTTTATGTACATTAATAGGAAAATCTATATATATGGATTTTATTTTGAAGTTTTTGTTTAGTGTGCATGCACGCGCGCGCGTGTGTGTGTGTGTGTGTGCAGGGGTTCATGAATGCATATGTGCACATGCACACTGCTGGAATGTGGGCATCTAAGCCACTACAGGTGTGTGCTTTTACTCTCCTTACTGTGGTGCTGGGAATAAATCAAATGCCTCATTCATGCTGGGTAACTGTTTGACCAATGACTTACCAGTTCTTCTGGATTTACACAGTTTAACAAACAATATGTAAGGAAGCCGTAAAGGCTGTTCATTCTTATCTAACTCACATCTAGATAGTATAACAAAACCAAGACATATAAAGTAACCTTACACAAGGCAACTTTCATGCTGCATAAGATGTATTCAGATTAGTAAGATGTCAAGAAAGCAATGGCTGGGCTGGGGAGATGGCTCAGCAGATGGAAGTGCTCCTCACACAAGCCTGACGACCTGGTTCAAGTCAGAACTCATGTATGTGGCAGCACGGATCTGGAAAGCTAGCACCCTTAGAGTGAGATGCAGGCAGAGGCAGAAGAACCGACTGGGGTACTCAGCCAACAGAGCAACAAAGAGACCCTGCCTCAAAAAAAAAAAAAGAGGCAGAAGCCGAACCCTGATTTTCACAGTCGCTCTTTGACCAGCACAGGTACATCATGGCACACGTCTGTGCTCATACACACAGACACATCACAGGTACATCATGGCACATGTCTGTGCTCCATACACAGACACATCACAGGTACATCATGGCACATGTCTGTGCTCCATACACAGACACATCACAGGTACATCATGGCACATGTCTGTGCTCACATACACAGAGACAATCACAGGTACATCATGGCACATGTCTGTGCTCACACACACAGAGACATCACAGGTACATCATGGCACATGGCTGTGCTCCATACACAGAGACATCACAGGTACATCATGGCACATGTCTGTGCTCCATACACAGAGACATCACAGGTACATCATGGCACATGTCTGTGCTCACACACACAGAGACATCACAGGTACATCATGGCACATGTCTGTGCTCCATACACAGACACATCACAGGTACATCATGGCACATGTCTGTGCTCCATACACAGAGACATCACAGGTACATCATGGCACATGTCTGTGCTCACACACACAGAGACATCACAGGTACATCATGGCACATGTCTGTGCTCCATACACAGAGACATCACAGGTACATCATGGCACATGTCTGTGCTCACACACACAGAGACATCACAGGTACATCATGGCACATGTCTGTGCTCCATACACAGACACATCACAGGTACATCATGGCACATGTCTGTGCTCCATACACAGACACATCACAGGTACATCATGGCACATGTCTGTGCTCACATACACAGAGACAATCACAGTAAACAAATACTGAAGAGACAATGGTTCTGATATGCACAAGTTCCAGGTAACATGGTACCTTGTACGACAACAACTGCCAGACTCTGCATCATAGTCAAGACGACAGGGCAGTCACCCTGCATCGCCAGTGGGGTTACTACAGCGGAAGGGTGGTCCAATGTCAGTAAGTATTTTATGCATGGCCATTGACATGACAGGGAGAAGAATACAAGTCTGACAAATATCGAAAAATTATTTTAAAGATGTGGCATCTACTTTAAAATTTTCAGAACTGAATTGAAACTGATATTGCAAGAAATAAATCTACTTAATAAAAATAAAAGTATTCTACAGGCAAGAACTGTAAAAATATACCTACAATGAAAACTAGGTTCCTCCCTAGAAAGTGAGGAGGAGGATAGCATACTGAATTAAAAAATAAAAAAGGAAGAAAGGAAGGAACATAAAAGGACAAAATATCTGCACACAGACTCTAGACTGGCAGCCCGGGAACTTGTATGGGACAGAACTAGGCTCTCTGAATGCGGGTGACAGTTATGTGGCTTGATCTGTTGGGGTAGGGGCCTGGCAGTGGGACCAGGACCTAGCCCGGGTGTATGAACTGGCTTTCTGGAGCACATTTCCTACGGTGGAACACCTTGCTCAGCTGCGGTACAGCAGGAGGGGCTTGCTCCTGCCTCAACTTTGTATGCCATACTTTGTTGACTCCCCAAGGAATACCTTACCCCCTCTGAGGAGTGGATAGTGTGAAGGGGGAGGCGGTGGAAACAAGGGAAGGGGAGGGAGGGAGTTGGTATGTAAAATAAAAAAGGATTTTTTAAAATAAAAAGGACAAAATATCATTTTTTTTTGATAATCTGTTAGTAAAAAAGATTAGGGTAGTTATGTATAAATCATAAGACTAGCTTTCTTATTTATCAACAAAAATGTTAAAAAAGCTGGGCGGTGGTGCACACCTTTATTCTCAGCACTCCAGAGGTAGAGGCAGGGGGATCTCTGAGTTCAAGACCAGCCTGGTCTACAGAGTGAGTTCCAAGATAGCAAGGGATACCCAGGGAAACCCTGTCTAGAAAAACAAAC